TTCTTTCTCCAGGTCCTCAGGATTCTTTATTTTTCCAGATTTTTTGTATGATTTTGCAGGCACCACTGTTATAAGCAGTGAGTCATCACCTTCCTATATATAAGATAAACAGCATCCATTTTCTTAATAAAAATGTAGGTGGTAGGGTACTTCACCTCCATAAGTGGTGACTTACATTGCTGTCAAGGCTATAAAGGATAAAAAAAAAACTTATTTTTAAACTAGTTACTCTTAAATACATCTTTCTCTGAACTCACTGTGCATTAATGAAGTTTACTGAGATCCGTTGATGGCAGTTTCAAGAAACATTCTGTGTTTTGGAAGACTGTAGTAACATTGCCTGATTTTAGACAATCTGTACATTAATTGCACAAAAGGTAATGTGCATGTGAGCATACTTCAAACCAATTTGATGGTGGATAGTTTGGGCTTAAACAGCCAAGATTTCTCCACAATCTGCTTCTCTATCCAAGTGTCTCAGTACTTAATATAAAGTAGTATTCAATGAGAAAATCCATTGAATATTCACCCAAGTGATGTACTAAAATAGTATAGATAAAGCTGTAAAGGCTAAATTTATCCTATTAAAGTTTAAAACAAATTCTGTTTGTTTGTTTGTTTGTTCGGAGACAGGTTTCTCTGTGTAGCCCTGGCTGTCCTGGAACTTGCTATGTAGACCAGGCTGGCCTCTAACTCAGAGATTCGCTTGCCTCTGCCTCCTGAGTGCGGGAATGAGCTATGCACCACTACACCTAGCTAAAATGAATGCATTATCTTAAAATTGATTTTAATTGTTTTTACTACAAATTTATCATTACCTCAAACTTTTTTCAAAAATAAAAATTATAAACTGTAACACATGCTCCTAAAGTAAAATTTTTTCCAAGTTTTGTAGTATAATTTTAGGCACACCATCAAATTGGTTGGTGGGATTTTAACCTTGCTACTTAATTGATCTATGTTTTTGTGGTTATTGGACATTCCTTCATGTGATACACACTGCCTTCTCCACTGGTGTGTGAAAATAAGAACTCAAGCTCTTAGGGACTCTGAGGGAAGAAGACAAATGATGAAATGGAAACTGCCTTTTAAAAGTTTCAGCTTTCAACAGCCTCAGATGTTAGTTCAGGAAACATAGCCTCACGGGCCCTATCCTCATGACCCAACTGTGTAAGCAGAAGCATACTTTTTTTAAACACATGACAGTGTTGGAAAGTGCCCAAGTATGCTCTTGCCTTTACAGAACATTCTTGACTTTTGTTATTGTGAGATTTATAATCAATAGTGAAATAAAAACCCCTGCATGTCCTTCTTGGGTTACAAGATAATTTGTGAATCATGTAATTTTCAGTGAATGTTTCATTAAAGGAAACGTCTGTTACCTCTGATGCAGATTCGGTTCCCGTATTGTTTATGTCCTCAATCTATTGAATGAGAATTTCATATCGTTACATTACATTGAATTTTCTGCTTGGTGCTTTTAAACATACAACTGAAAAGTAATTTAGCCATGTCTTCTGGTAAAATTTCAACTTTTGACTGTGAGCTTACAAGGAACAATTTTTAATTTAGTAGCAATTTAAACTGAGATACACAAAAATGCCCCTCCATCCTCTGCCCCTGCAATAGCAGAAGAAAAAATCTATCATAAGCAATCAAATGGTTGTGACCTTATGTCTTAGATCAAAAAATATCTGGCAAAAATGTAACTGATACAATAATAAAGTGTGGTAGAAATATCAGCTAGATTGGAAGAGAGGGTAATTCTGGTACATATTTTGGCCACATCGATGGGGAAAAGGCCATCATCTAAAGTTAGAGCACATTTCTCTGAAGAAACATCATTAGGTTAGCTTGGTAGGCAGGCTGATACCTTAGCCAACTGCTGAAAGAAAGAAAACAGGCGATTTTAAGGATGCAGTGCTTGAAATTTCAGGAAAAGGACACAGACAACAGACAAGAAGGATCACAACGGCCGGGGGGTCTACAGAGTAAGTTCCAGGACAGTCAGGACCACACAGACAAACCCAGCTTGAAGAACAAACAAACAAAGCAAAAAAGTGAACATTTAGCCAGGATGATCTCTGTGAGTTTGAAATCAGCCTCATCTGTGTATCAAGTTCCAGGCCAGCCAGGGCCATATAGTGATACCATGTCTCAAATAAAAAATAAAAATTTAAAGTAACATATTTTAATAATGAATAGTTTTATCAGAATAATTTTATACTACAAAATTTAATTTTTGAGAATAATTTGTTTTATTACAGAATTACTCATTAAACTGACTTGCCGTCAGTTTATAAATGGAATAGATTTTTTCAATGATGTATCATACCAAGTAAAATTTAATGGCTCTCTAATAAGATAATTACAGAATAGGTTGTTTTCCAATGAATAATCAAAGTAATTCCTCAATAAAAAGTTGCATGAAATGTGAGAAGCCAGACCCTGAGAATGCAGGAAAGAGAAACAATTCATTAACCCAGGCTTCTATTCCTAGATCTCTCCCAGGGCCTCTTGTTTTGCCTAAAGTGGACAGAACACTCACAGGGCTTTCACATTTTGTCTGCTTAGATTTCTGTTGTCATTGTTTTATCTTTGTTCACTTTAAACCACTATAAGGCAACAAAAGTTAGAATCATGTATTTTTTTCAACCAACATGGACAATGATGAATTTCTTTCAGGGGGCTATGCTACTAGTACAGTCCAGGGGAACAGATGTTCAGAATTCAGTTAGTGTTGGCTTTCACAAGTTAACAGTAAAAAACTGTTTCTAAACTTTTTTCTTTTTTGCTTTATAGAAAGCAAATTTGTTTCATCCCCAGATTTCTTTCCTTGCCTCTTTTGAAGATCCTATTTCCCACCAATATCTGTCCCTAAATGGATGGACTTTAATTTTGTCTATCAGGGTATCTTCAGTTAACCAGATAATGCATCCTCAGGATTTTCCCACACATTTTTTTTATTCTGGTATCTAATACACAAGGTATATTCCTTTTTAATTCTTTGTAAGATCCTACAATCTTAAAGTGGTAATATCTTGGTGATCACTTCAACCATTCTCGACTCAGGAACCCTCTTGCATAGTGATTTGTACAAGTAAACTGTAAACAAACATTACACTACACTGCATTAAGTCATATTAAATGTGAGTGGAAAATGTACTTATGTTTTAAAATTAAACGTTACACGTTTATAAGAAGTTACTATTATTACATTGCTGTTGTATCCTCGATTTATAGGGCTAACACATCATTAGCCAGGGTTCTGTGGCTCCCTCCACACAGCAAGTGTTGGGTGGAAAGACACGGACTTTTTTCATGATCATGTTTATCTTTTGAGCATCCAGTCTTTACTCTAGTCAAGCTCACTCACAGGTCTTTTTGAGAAACCACTGCCTGCCATTCCATTCTTGGGTTTCAAATAGGTCAGTAAGCACAGGAAATACCAGTGCTTTGGAAGTACAGAAGAGTGAAAGAAGACTAATTCTACATATATACACAGTATATTGTACAAGATGCCATTTTTATATACTTTAGTCTTACTTACTTTAAAATTTTAACATAACTATATTCTTAAATCATATATCTACAAACATATAATTTTAGTAATTATGTATGGCAATAATTAAAAACTCAATAGTTCTCATTTTATAATTCTATTTCTTTATAAAGTTTCAGTACAAAATGAAAACTTATCTTTAATGACCAGAAGAGGCAACACTGAAGTACACAGCATCCTTTCTTCAGATAAGGGTACCATAAAGTATAGGAAAGTTCTCATTCTTCTTAACATTTAATCTGCCATATATCATCATTTGCTACCAAGTAAGTAGTTGTTTGTGTCACAGAAGTTATTTGCAAAACTGAAGTTAATGGATTTCTTGGGCATGTAAGTATAGGGTATGCTCTCTTTTCATGAGCACTTTTCTCTCCAGAAAGGTGGTGGACACTCAAAGGAGCACAGCGTCCCCATTTAAGGAACTTAGAATACTGCTGTAAGAGGCTGGGGAGGCAGCTCGGTGGTTAAGGACACCTCTGCTCTTGCAAACAACCTGGGTTTGGTTCCTAGCACATACATGATGATGGCTCAGAACTGTCTCTATCTTCAGGTCCAAGGGATCCAGTGCCCTCTTCTAGCCTCTGTGGGCACTGCATGTACATGGTGCTCAGACACACATGTAAGGGAAACTCTTACACATAAAATGAACATAATCTTGTTTTATAAGGGGTAGCAATGATAAATATTGCCATTAGAAAGCCATAATGTGCTTTGTGATGATAAATAGTTTATGTGTGAAAATGTCTTATATCATTGTAAAATTCTCAAAGATACCAAGAACAGTTAGGAATATAGTCAGTTTAAGGAATGTAGAAACAATTGGTAAGATCATTTATAACAAAAGCCATCATCATCCTCCTAAGGCAAGCAAATTCTGCCTATACTACTGGGCATCTGATACTGAATATTTCCCCTTATGTTTTTAGGCTAGCCACTATTAATAAGCTGATATTGTGTTAATTAGACAACATCCTGATTAGTTCTCATTTGTTCTGTTAGGTCCACAAACAAACACCAATGTAGCATTTAGCATCTACCTGCTCAGCTCTTTTTGCTAATTCACGCTGTATTTTCCTCTTTTCCAACAGATCCTGCTCAAGTCTGCGTTTTCTTTCCTCTTCCGTTCTCTTCC